TGGGATGGGCCTTGAGGTGGCCCCATGACCACGATATGGACCTTGAGGTGGCCCCATGATGACAATATGGACCTTGAGATGGCCCAACACCTCCATACCCCCCCGAGATGTCCCCAGGATGTCCCCAACCCCCCTTGGTGACCCACTCACGCTGCCAAAGTACTTGTCCAGGAGCTCCACGTAGCGATGGATCAACTCCAAGGTGATCAGCTCGTTGTCCTGCCCCTCGATGGCGCAGCAGAAGTAGAGGCTGGCGTACCTGCAGGAGGACACAGATGGACCTGGGGTGGCCTTAGATGTTCTCCAAGACCCCGTGGTGGAAGAGGTGGGACATCCCCAAGAAGCTCCTCGACGTGGGCTGATGTGGTTGGGCGCTCGTGGTGGTCAACTCGCAAGGTGTGGTCAAGGTTGGTGGTGGTTCTTTGGTGGGTTCGTGGTCATGGGATGGACCTTGGGGTGGTCTGATGACCATGGGATGGACCTTGGGGTGGCCCCATGACCATGGGATGGACCTTGAGGTGTCCCCATGACCATGGGATGGACCTTGGGGTGTCCCCATGACCATGGGATGGACCTTGGGGTGGTCTGATGACCATGGGATGGACCTTGGGGTGTCTCCATGACCATGGGATGGACCTTGAGGTGTCCCCATGACCATGGGATGGACCTTGGGGTGGTCTGATGACCATGGGATGGACCTTGAGGTGTCCCCGACACCATGATATGGACCCTAAGGTGTCCCCATGACCCTCATATGGATCTTGAGGTGTTCCCATGACCATGAGATGGATCTAGGGGTGTCCCCATGACCATGGTATGGAACTGGTGGTGGCCCCATGACCATGAGATGGACCTTGAGGTGTCCCCATGACCATGGGATGGATCTAGGGGTGTCCCCATGACCATGGTATGGAGCTGGTGGTGGCCCCATGACCATGTCATGGACCTTGAGGCATGCCCATGACCACTAAGTTGACCTTGAGACCATGGGATGGGCCTTGAGGTGTCCCCATGACCATGGGATGGACCTTGAGGTGTCCCCATGACCATGTTATGGACCTGGTGGTCTCCCCACCCCCACGCTCTGACCCCCCCGTTGACTTATTGAGCCGTTGCGGTGGCATCTCCATGAGGTTGGGTGACACCAGAGGGTGGTGGGTGGGTGAGGACAGATGGTGTCACCTCTTGTAGACCACCTTGAGGTCCCTCCACTCCAGGAAGCTGCACATCTTGGGCTTGCGGGCCAGGACCACCTGCATCAGCTCCCGGACCATCTTCTTCTTGTCCTTGTCGGCCGTGGCCAGGTACCACTTCTGCAGGCGCAGCTTCCCCTGGCGGCTGAACAGCAGCATGAACCGCATCTGGGGACAG